ATAAATAAATAAAAATAAATTAAAAAGTTTGTGTTAACATGAAACATGAATTCTTCCTATACTACTTTACCTGGAATCTTTCATTAATTCTGACATCTCATTCCATGAAATCATAGCAAGTTGATTATCAAGTATTAGAGACTTTCTAAGTAAAAAAATCAGCAGAAGGTAGTAATAGTTTGATTTCTTTCATTAGCTAAAATGAAATGATTATTTAGACACCTGTAGTTTAGTTAGTTTAGTCATAAAGGAGCAGTAGTGGTCATTTAATGCATTATTATTCTATTTTTATCATTGGGGAGAAAAACAGTAGTAGGAATGACAGCTTAATTTAACTGGATGAGTGTTCATTTGGCAATGATGTATTTCTGCAGATGGCTAAATGTTTGGGCAAATCCTAGGGTTTACGTTATTCTTTATAAAGCCTACTACAGTAAAAAGATGGCCAATTACCCATTTTGTATGAATAAAACTTTCCAAATGCTTTCAAAAACAACAAAACAGCAAGATGATCAACAATAAAAATATCAAAATGTATGCAACATCATTGTAGGGAAAATGTCATAATTTTAATTTAAAATTATAGGAATGTATACAGAATTTCCCAAATAATAATATTTTTTTCAAAACTTAAACCACATTAACAATGGGAAGACAGAGGGTTTTTCCCCCAGATATTTATGTATTTTAGAAGTCATCCAATTGCAGAATGATTCTGAGTCATTTACATTTAAAATAGGACAAAATAATAACTCCAGGTCTGGAAGGACAGACATGTTTTAAAAAACTTGTGGAATGATGGGATCTAGATCGATAGGGAATCTTAATCCAGAGAAGACAGGCCTCCTGGGTCCTAATAATTGACATTGATTGAGAGGACTCAAATTGCACCAACTCTGTCTGATCTTATTGGATGGACAAACATGATCTATAATCCTCCTATGAAGGCATAAAAGGAAGAACTTAATGGGACATTATCAATGGCTTGGGGGGTTGGACTAGATGATCTACAAGATCCCTTCCAACTCTGTTAATCTGTAATCTGCTTGAATTAGCCCTCAAACTTCAAGGGCAGCCAGTGGAGCAATGGAATCATATGGGCATATAAATCATTGCCAATGCCATTGCATTCTGAATCAGCTGCAGCTTCTAAGTAGTCTTCAGTGGCACTCTATGTATACCACATTGCAATTTTCTGACTGGGGCATAAATGACCATCTGGAGAACTCCTGATCTAGGAAAGGCTGCAACCATTGAACAGATGAAACTGTACCAAAATCTTAGCTGTGAATCCAAAATGACCCCTACATTGAGCACCAAAAGAGGATATACAATTGAAATATAATTGTGGAAAAGGCCCAAGTTATTTTAAAGAAACACGACAATGTATATGTTGAGTTGTCCATCTTAGATATTAGTTCAATATATAAAAATTCATCAACTGCCAAGTCATTTGGATGCTTTTTATTAAAATGGTTCCATAAAAAATGCAGTGATTGCTGAGCAATTGATATATGAATTTGATATTTTATATATGTATTTATGCTATGCCTTTATCAAATTCCTTTATTAGGTAAGTAAACCTTTATTGGAGCATTTGACCAACATATGCAATACACACACACACACACACACACACCAAATACATAAATATATTTAAAATTAGAAACCAAACTAAAAGAAAGTATGAAGTCCAAAGGAAAGTAGTGATAACAATGTTCTCCTTGAACAAAATGATAGTCTATTTTTTTCAAATAAAAATAGAAACTGTCGAAAAACAAATACTTGTGTAACGATTAGATAAAACTATATTTACTGTCTCAAAACTAGATAGATTAATAAGCCTGAACTAGGGTCCTTTGCTGTAGGATAATGACCAAAGGACTACAATATGTTTAGTAATCATATAGTCTAACAATACTTGAATTCCTTAGTAAACAGGAATTGAGCCTCAGGATTGTGGCTTTTGAAATTAGGGTGTGTTTAGACTTGGAGGCTGCCCAAACTTCTTTCACATCTCGAAGGAAAAGCACCATGCCAAACATATGTAATCAGCAAAAAAAAAAGTGATTACATTTTGAAGAAAGATCATAAAACAAATGCTCCCATATGTTGTAGAGATCAAATAGAATATCTGAGAACTTGCACTGCAATGTTTTAACTATATAGTGAAAAGAATGTTCTGATCTGACAATTAATGCAGTGTGTGAAAAATAACAGAAAAGGTCATGTAAGTTAATAAAGAATTTTAGAAAAAGAAACACTTATTCTAAAATGTATGTATGGGTATAAGTTTTGTTTAACATCTAATCAATTCAAATAAGTAATTTATCATCTCCTGAATCAGAAATTGTGGGTCAAAGACAAAGGAGAATGGGAACCATTTAGTTCTCACCATCTAACTTTCTTAATGGAGAAATGAATGAAATGATTATCTAAATCAGTATATTTACAGCATATATGACACATCAGAGTTGTTACTGAGTTTATTTTTCAATCGATGAGTTAATTACAGTAGAATAGAATAGAATAGAATAGAATAGAATAGAATAGAATAGAATAGAATAGAATAGAATAGAAGGGACCTTGGAGGTCTTCTAGTCCAGCTCCCTGCTCAAGCAGGAGAACCCATACTATTTCAGATAAACGATTGTGTAGACCACAGGTGTCAAACTTAATCAATCATTAGTCAGGTATTGGGTCACTTGGAGTTTCTCTAAATAGAAATGCATGATAAAATATTTAGCAGAAATTAAATGAATTGCATATAATCCAAAGTTTTCATCATTTTATACAGCTCATCTGGATAAAAGGACATACTCTGAAAATAAAAATAGATGCTACCTAGGGCTGAATTAGCTTTTTTAAGCAGCTGCTGCACACTTTTGGCTCATACTTAAGTGGTGGTCTGCTAAGACACTAACTCCCTTATTTGCTACGGTTGAGCCAGGCACCACCTATTTTATACCTGTGTATTTGATTTTTCTTGTCCATATGTGGGCACTTGCTTTTCTCACCACTGAATTGTATTTTATTGAATAGGATTCACTGTTCAAACCTGTCAAGACCCTTCTGAATCTTGAGTCTATCTTCTAATTGTTACATATTTCCCCTAGCTTGGTGTCACCTGCAAATCTGACAAGTTCCCTTTCTACCCAGCCCCACCTATATCATTTATGAAGATGTTGAAGAGCATCTTCATAAATTACATAGGGCACAGAACCTTGAGGTACCCCACTGCATGTTTTACTCCATGTAGAAGTAGTTCCATTGAGGACTACATCAATGAGTCCTGGTGGTGCAGTGATTAGAATGCAGTACCCCACTGCATGTTTTACTCCATGTAGAAGTAGTTCCATTGAGGACTACATCAATGAGTCCTGGTGGTGCAGTGATTAGAATGCAGTACGGCAGGCTACTTCTGCTGCCTGCCAACTACCTGCTACCTTCAGTTCAGCGATTCAATTTTCACACGCTCAAAGTTGACTCAGGCTTCCATTCTTCCAAGGTCAGTAAAATGAGGACCCAGATTGTTGGGGGCAATATGCTGACTCTGTAAACTGCTTAGAGAGGGCTGTAAAGCATTGTGAAGCAGTATATAAGTCTAAGTGCTATCGCTAAATGCTGCTGGCCAGCCAATTGCAAATCCATCTGGTGGTGCACTGTTTGTCAAGAAGTAGGCTATGGTTTGTTTTGTTAAATATATCAAGTATACTAAGTATTGGTTAAATATACCAACTAAACTGTCCACAGCATTATCCACTGATTAAAAAAATAATTAGTTCCATAATAAAATAAAGATGTCTGACATCACAAAAAAACTTTTACAGTGAATTTTTAAATAGTAGAAGAAATTAAAATGTGTCTTAGCTATTCTGCAATGAAATCAGTAACTGGATTTAAAAACTCATTAACAAATAAGAATAAATCAAAATTTGCTTTGAATAAATATATTTTGTCATGATATTTTTTCAATGTATAATATCAGATGTAATAATGAGGCATCATATGGATTCTAGAAAGACCTCCAAAGGTCCGTAAGATGGTGTGGATCTCTATGAGAAGACTTGAAACAAGGCCGGCACTGGATCTATACAATATAATCCTGTATACTCTGTTGACATATAGTTAGAATGGGAAAGAGTGAACTAAGTGTATATAAATTTACACTTATTTATTTATTTTGTCAATTGCTTACAAGATAATAGATGTAAGTAAAAACATAGTTATGAATACATAGATACATATAAGAAAAATTAAAAAATAAAAGAAAAGAAACAATAGGACAGGGATGGTAGGCACATTGGTGCACTTATGCACACCCCTTACAGACCTCTTAGGAAAGGGGTGAGGTCAATAGTAGACAGTCTAAGGTTAAAGTTTTGAAGGTTTGGAGAAAAAACCACAGAGTCGGGTAGAATATTCCAGACATTGACCACTCTGTTGCTGAAGTTGTATTTCCTGCAATCAAGTTTGGTGCGATTAACCTTGAGTTTGTATCTATTGTTTGCTCTTGTGTTGTTATGGTTGAAGCTGAAGTATTCATTGATAGGTAGGACATTGTAATGTATATACTATACTTAGATCGGACTGAAGGTGGCGTAGTTCTAGGTTTTCTAGGTCTAGAATTGGCACATAGCTCAATGGAAACAACAAATTTAACAAAGAAATATAAATTCAGGGAACAAAAAGACAGCTCCTTCTATCTTCCTTTTGGCACAAGCCTAACAAATCTTGCCTTCTAGTAATTAATCCACCCTGGTTTCTCCATCTCTGTATGACTGCTCTGTAAGGGAATCTAACCCTAATTTATAATACTGAATCCAGGCCTGTCCAATTTCACAATTGGTAACATTCCTTCAATTTTTGCATGGTATTTACATTTAATTGTCACTGTGATATTGTTCTACCATAGCAATACAATCAGTCATGATCGTGATTCTGCCATTTTTGGCAAACATTGTAAACTATAATTAGTGCATTTTTGCTTTGTTACTCACATTCTCATAAAGAGCTTGAAGAGTCTCTAAGTCCACCACCGAGTTGTCCAAGTTCATGACAGCTATGAAAAAGGCAGACAAAAATTTAAAAAAGGATTACATTTCAAGAAAAGACTAAGCACTATACAGACACTTTAAAAAAAAAATTATTTACTGTCCATACAGCTTAATGGATCACAATTTATTAATGTCTTTAGAAAATGTTCCATCTAACAATAGACAAGAAAACTAGTGGAACCTGGCATTACATTTTAATACAGTCAAGTCAACTTCCCCCCACAATCAGCTGCTGGGCCTGCCCACCCTGGCTCTATTCTGACCTTTATTTCCTGGTTTTGAAGCTCAGCTGCTTCGGTACAGCAGATTGGCGCTCGTCAGCTGTTGAAGACACAGGGAAAATTCAGGACTGCAGGAGAAGGTCAGTAGCAGACCCTCTGTGTGTGTGTGTGAAGTGCGCGTTTGACACATGCACACATAGTGCAGCCACCAAACCACGCCCACAGAACCAGTGATAAAAAAATTTGAATCCCACCACTGGTGAGCTTATTGTTACCCATGTTACAGAAAAAGTCAAATGGTAACAATAAGTTTTACATCAGAGTTTTATGGTCTGACTTTAAAAAATACACATTATAGTCAAACAGCAAAGGGGACCTATCTCTAGCTGAGTTTCAGCTTTTGACTATCTAATCCATGGATCAACCCTACCAGATACCCAACTTATATGTAACAGATATAAGTTTGCTTAAAATAACCTATGTCGTTAGTCATTATACAAACAGTTCCATAAGTATGACTTCAAAAGAGAAGTTTCATTTAGAATGAAAAACAGGAAGGGCAAGTAACATATTTAATAATAGCAAAGATATAAGGATTTAAGCTGGTAAGACAGAATTCATTAAGAATGATTTCAAAAGTTTATCTTAGTGCTACTTAAAAAGAAACCAAGAAAGCAAAATTAGTTTTTAATATATAAAAATCTCTAACAGAGAAAGGAGATCAAATTTCCATGACTTCTGACAGGAGGAAACATTCAGAGAAGCATGTGTACCAGTCTTTTAACCATGCAGCCTGGTTACATCATACCAGAACAGATTATCTAGTGGGGCAACCTCAAAAATCGTGGTTTATCTTTATTAAGGAAAACCATTCTTCACATATTGAAATCAGCCTCTGTTAAATTCACATACCATGTTTGTTTATAATTTACCAAGTCCGGAACTGTATTTCAACAGAATTATCCACATGGCAGGCTTTCTACACATCCCATGGAATTTCTGGTGAAGTCATTAATAAAGTCATTTATTTAAAATAGGTTTTTACCTTTTACATCTTATCAGAATGTCAGGTCTGGGGTAGAACTTACGTATAACTACTAAAACAAAATAACTACTAAAGTTTCATCATCATTTTAGCCGTTGTTTATCCACTGTAGGATGAAGGCCTCTTCTGCATGTTTCCAACCAATATGGTCCTGAACTTAAATTTAAAGAACTTAATTAAAGCTGACACAATCTAGAAATTCCCAAGAAAACAAAACAACCTGAATGGGGACAAGGTACTATTGTAGTACCAAGTCCATGTGAGTTGTATTCTTTTTCAAGATAGTTTTTCATTAGTTTATAATATAGCATACAAAGAAAATACAAAAGTAAATAGTAGGGAAAATAGGGAAGCGAAAAGGGAATGGAAAAGTGAGGGAAAGAAAAGGGGAAAAAGAAAAAAGGCATTGACTTCCAACTTCCTGTGGTGCAGTAGAATAGGGTATTAACTAAAAGCCTCAACTTTTTACTTTTACATGATTGTATTAATTAGCCATTTCTATTGTAACAAATCTCTTTAATTGGTAAAACCCAAAATCAAAGTTTCACTTTTTTCCACCTCAAGTACAAAGTCCAGAGGTGGTTTCTAAGCAGAAATAATATTTTTTTCTTTGATCAAAGAGGTCAATTTAGCCATCTTTATTATCTCCATCAGTTTTTGCAGCTATTCATCCATTGTGGGGATCGAGGCAACCTTCCATTTCTGACATAAAGTAGTCTTGCTGCCATCAACATATATAACATCAAAGTTTTGATTTTTTTTTTCCAGGTCTTTTTTCATTAAACCCAAAAGAACAAGTCTCTGGTTTTCTCTTTATATTCACTGTAAGAATTTTCTATATTAAAATATGAATCCCACTCCAACATTTCTTGGCTTTATCACACATCTGCCATAAATGATAAAAAGTCTTCTTTATATTTACATTTCCAACATTAATTTGAAGTACATGTGGGTTAGATTCTTGAATTTTAATTTACCATAAATATTCTGGCCTCAGGGGAGAGATATCAAATCAAATCAAATCTTTATTATTGTCATAGACTAGTGGTTCTCGACCTTTTCTTCACCCCGGATTCTCTTTAAAAACCCTTTGTTGCCCCAACTATGGACATGGACCTCCACGATTTAACTCAAGATTTAAATCATAACATTTTTCAAGCCTTTGTAGACCCCTTGTGATGACATTTGTAGACCCCTTGTGATGACACACCAGCATTCTGTAGAACACAGGTTGAGAGCTACAGTCATAGATCATCATAAGAAGGGTAGGGAAAACTATGGATTTTGTTGACTCTGAAAACCATCCACTGATGTCTTTTCTGACTGCAGTTAAGTGCCATACACCCAGCCCCCCAAAGGGAGAAAACCAGCCATCTGATTACAATGCAATTGCTTTCATGTTTCTTCTTTCTTCTATTTAGCATTTTCTTCTGCTTTCTATTTAATCTATATACCTATAAGGCAAATCTTGACCTGGAGCAAAACTTAGCTTGAATTTCCTTTGACAATTCCTGACAAAAACTTAACAACAGATTACATTGCCCTCTATAAATCAGTACCTTTCACTGTTGCTAAATGATTTTGTGTATACACCTCAAGATTAGAGACAATATAATTCATGCTCATTTGTTTTTCATTGCTGTAAAGCATTTAGTGATAAAATCCAGTGTCTGGGACTCATCACATTTTCTCCCTACAGGTCTGAAATATATCTTTAGTTACAGTATAATAAAAGAATATATAAATAAGGAAATGTTGATCTTGATTGCATGAAGCAGAGTCCAGAGCGTTCTTAAAGATTGGAGGGAAGAATTAAAAAGAGATAAAAATAACATTCCTTCTTTTCAGGATATATTCTTTTTTCCAGAGTCTTCTGAAAAAAACATTTCTTTTTTCCAAATTGTTTTATCATGTTTTACTCCTTTCCTTTTCTCATTTACCTATTTTCACAAAACAGTTTTGTTTACCAATAACTTATCTTTTTATATATCTGTATGAAATATTTTAAAAGTTAGTTCCCTATGACATATGTTTTAACTGTTTTTCTTCTTGAAAATTGTAAAAGTTAATTTTTTTATAAAAGCTTTCTAAAATCAAACATCTAGTCCTTAAACTAAATAAACTGCATTAAAATTTCAGCAAATCAGATTGCCTCATTTGAATAGCAACATAGATCAATATCATAATGCACCACAATAGAATTTCATGTAAGTTATTTTGCACGTAAACCAAAGCAAATCATCTCCCTACAGTAGAATAGCTAAGTACAGTTTTAATTAAGTGTGGGCCCCCATGTATCAAATATAGCAAGCAAAGTCTAAGAGATGGCAAGAAAGATTTGATAAAGAACAAGGTGGGGGAAGGGAGCCAGGAAGAGAAAAATATACCTTGTTTTACAGATGCATTGTCATTTCCTATTTTTAATAAGCAGAAATTGTCTATGGTTAACTATACACTTCATTATGAACAAAAGCTTGCAAGGTATTTTATGATGGAATAGACTGCATCTATCTTGTACAGACAATATTATCCACGAGGATTTAAAGGAATACAAGATTTCAGGAAAATTGCAAAGGGCAGGTGTAATCAGTTTAAAAGGAATCAAATACTTTACACAAACCAAACATTTATTCATTTTTTAAATTTTTTTTATCTTGCTCTTTATAAGTAACTTAAGGCAGTCAGCATACATAATACTTTTGCCTCCTATTTTTCCCACAGCAATGCAGTGAGGTGGGGTTATCTGGGCAAAGACAGAGTAACTAACCCAAACAGCTGTTATGACTAAAAATAAATATAAGCCATCAGTGTGTAGCAAAAATAAATAAATATGAGCTAACTATGTGTGGCAGCAGCCAAAAAAGCCAACATAGTCCTAGTCTGCGTTAATAGAGAGATAGAATCATGATCACGTGATATTCTAGTATTGTTTTACAAAGCATTAGTAAGATCACACTTGGAATACCGAATACAGTTCTGGTCACCACAATATAAAAAAAGATGTTGAGACTCCAGAAAGAGTGCAGAGAACAGCAACGAGAATGCTTAAGGGACTGGAGGCTAAAATATATGAAGAATGGTTACAGGAATTGGATATGTCTAGTCTAATGAAAAGAAGGACTAGGGAGACATGATAACAATATTCCAATATTTGAGGGGCCCCTACAAAGATGAGTGGGTCAAACTATTTTCCAAAGCACCAAAAGGCAAGACAAGAAACATGGGATGGAAACTAACCAAGGAAAGAAGCAACCTAGAAATAAGGAGGAGACATTTCCTAACACTGAGAGCAGCCAACTAATGGAACAGCTTGCCTTCAGAAGTTGTGGGTGTTCCATTATCAGAGGCTTTCAAAAAGAGACTGGACAACCATTTATCTGAAATGATATAGGGGGTTTGAGCAGTGGGTTAGACTAGAAGACCTGAATTCTACCTTCTGTGTTCTAAAATTCAAAGCCTCCTGATTTCCAGTCTTCCTGGAAATCACGGGACTGAGTTTTAAAACATAGCACCATAACCACTACACTAAATTGGCTTTTACTTAATTATATAATTATTATATATTTAATTATATTATAATTATATAACTGTAAATTTATATTACAATTGTATAATTACAATATATAATAACTATTAAATACAGAATATTGTCCTCATGATAAACACCTGTACAGATTTAACATGCAAAATGTTTTCCCAGTCTTTCCCCAAGAGTGTTGCTGAAGACCTATTGTTAAGA